CCCTGATGGACCCTTATAAATGATAGGCACATGAACCAAAAGCAATTTTAAACAGGATTCTAGTTGTGTGGGGGAGCTGGCGGTTCCTAGTGATATTGATTGTTATGTGCTGTGTGTATATGCTGTCTGTAGGATATCAGACTGTGCTTATGACTCATATCTATGACACATACATATGATACATATCTATGATTCATACACACCATACATATATGATTCACTCGATCCCACTGGATTCATACAATCAATATGACTCATTTCATTCACTTGCGTGAGTGACTCGACTCATTTGATTCACACATCACTCGATCCTCACAGTGATCGATTCTAGATTTGATAAGAGCATTGACTCACTTTTCTTCTAGCACACATTTTACATCACTTTTAGTAGGACAGTCACTCCCACAGGGAGGAGTATATATACAGCATTTAAAATGTATGACTGATGGTTCTGGAATTTTTTGCCCACAATAAAATAATGTTTAGAATTTTTTTCATTTTCTTATTCTTGCAGGTAGTGGCCATGGTGAGGCATCACAAAGAAGGAAGAGGAGCAAGAAGAAGAAAAAAGGAGGAGCTTCTTGTTGTTAGTAGTTCTATTAGTATTACCTCAGCTCCTCCTCATAGTAGTTCTTCTTTTTGTTGTTCTTGTCATCATCACCAGACTCAACAAGATAGCAACAAAGCTACTATTTGATGAGCAGCCTTCTTTTGATTCACTGCTGCTCCTTGTCTCAATTGTAGAGGAGCACAGCAATCTTACTGAACAATATTTTCCTCCTAGAAGATTATCCTCATAGTATGCTCTTGGATATTCTGAAAGGTTCTGATGTTTGCCCTAAACCACCAGCAGCATAATATCCTAATTCTGGAATTCATCAAATAAAAAATAGAAATATCTGAGATCATGGTGTGACTGCTGCTGTACTACATACCAGAGGGCTCATGGTGATTTTAGAGGGGTGCACAATGTGTCAAAAACTTCTACAGTATGATGTAAAAAGTCATGTTCCATCCTTGGTACAAAAAGGGAAAAAAAATCACTTTTAGTTACTAGCAATTTTTTCACTTCATGATGATTTTTACTGCATAGTTGTACTAGTAATTATGGTGGAAAAAGTATACCTGAAAGGCCCCATGCACAAGAAGACCACTTCCGACAATCACTCTCTGATTTTCAAACTGCATATGCACATCTTTCATATTGTTGAGAGCCAAGTAGTGCTACTACTAGTAATAGCTAGTGTTTGTTGGGTGCCATTGCTGGTGTTTGCAGTTCAACAAAATTGGGTCATTCCCACATACATAGAACTATGTAGTAAATTTGAGGCTGGCCGGCTTGTTTTAGTCTATGTATCAAATTACATACATTTTGGTTGTCATGGGCCCATGACAACCAGGATCTTTGTATTTGACATAAATATTTTTTGGAATCCTTGACTAGTAGTAAACATTTCCAGTCTCAGGAGCAAAAAAAATTGTGTTGTTTGAGTGAAGAATTCCTAAATTGTTCCTGCCACTGGAATCTTGTAAAATTACCGTGCAATTATATGGGATTCCAAGTTGTTTGTGAAGAAAAAATCAGGATTGGATGATGGCACTTTTGTGTGGGGATTTACTAGGGAGCCGGCCTGGAGAGGGCCCAAATGAAGAATTTTCAGTTTTCGCGTGATTGCGCACAATTTTTTAACAGAGTTCCTTCAAAATAACGGTCATTTCTTCAATCGAATGGTTCTTTAGGATGGGGGTTACCAAGGCCATATTTTTTGGAGTTTCCCATCCAGTGGGATTTTATTATCGGCAAAGTCATTTTTATTAATGACTTAATAAAATTTTATTATTGACTCAATAAAATTTTATTATTGCCTTAATAAAACGTTAATAAAATTTTATTATTGACTTAATAAAACGTTAATAAAATTTTATTATTGACTTAATAAAACGTTAATAAAATTTTATTATTGACTTAATAAAAATGTTTTTCCACGATAACGCATTAGAAAACATCCATTAATAAAATTTTATTATCAGCATAATAAAACAATAATAAAATTTATCAACAGCTTAATAAAACAATAATAAAATTTTATTATGAGCATAATAAAATTTTATTAACAGCATAATAAAATTTTATTGTCGGCGAGGTTACATTATTTTTATTATTGTGCGGGGATCGCACAAATAAAAAGAGGGTATGCCCCTGAAGTAGATTATGTCTATTACTACTAGATAGGAAAAATGAGGTGGCGCGCGCATTCACATTGCGCATAAGTGTTGAGTTTAGTCAAACGGGACTGATCAGACCTGGAATCGGGCGCTCTCCTGAATTCAAAATTAATTTCCCCCCCTCATTCAATTTTTTCCCTCCAGAAAAAAAAAAGTTGCAGTTTCGTCCCCGCGTAGACAATGGAATATGAGTTTTTCAATAAATGCTGGAAAACACTGCACGTCTTCGCAGGCGTTGCGCCCCCCTCTAAATTATCACCCCTGCTTTCAGGGAGCCTGCAGAGTCATTAGTATTGTACCACTGAAAGTGCTTCCCAAAAACATACGGTAATATGTATGCGGGAATGACCTATTGGAAGTGCCAATAGTGGCAGTATAAAATACTCTAGTGAGCATTTTATTAGGACCAAAGGCAATACACTGAACAGTGACGACTACTTCATTGCTGAAGAACGGAAGAGGCGACAACAGCTTGTTAAAGATCTGGAATCGGCGAAGAAGAAATCCCAAGCAGTTAGTGAGTTGAATGCAAAGGCGACTGCAGTGATTCAGGAATTGGTATCAAAGGGGAAAGATGTTTACAATGAGGAAGATGCCAAGTCACTTCCAATCTCAACACTCAAACTGTTGTGCCAGTGGAAACAGCAGAAGAAAATCCCTGCAAAGAAAGACAGTGTATTTGGTATGTGGATGAAAGNCCCTGATGGACCCTTATAAATGATAGGCACATGAACCAAAAGCAATTTTAAACAGGATTCTAGTTGTGTGGGGGAGCTGGCGGTTCCTAGTGATATTGATTGTTATGTGCTGTGTGTATATGCTGTCTGTAGGATATCAGACTGTGCTTATGACTCATATCTATGACACATACATATGATACATATCTATGATTCATACACACCATACATATATGATTCACTCGATCCCACTGGATTCATACAATCAATATGACTCATTTCATTCACTTGCGTGAGTGACTCGACTCATTTGATTCACACATCACTCGATCCTCACAGTGATCGATTCTAGATTTGATAAGAGCATTGACTCACTTTTCTTCTAGCACACATTTTACATCACTTTTAGTAGGACAGTCACTCCCACAGGGAGGAGTATATATACAGCATTTAAAATGTATGACTGATGGTTCTGGAATTTTTTGCCCACAATAAAATAATGTTTAGAATTTTTTTCATTTTCTTATTCTTGCAGGTAGTGGCCATGGTGAGGCATCACAAAGAAGGAAGAGGAGCAAGAAGAAGAAAAAAGGAGGAGCTTCTTGTTGTTAGTAGTTCTATTAGTATTACCTCAGCTCCTCCTCATAGTAGTTCTTCTTTTTGTTGTTCTTGTCATCATCACCAGACTCAACAAGATAGCAACAAAGCTACTATTTGATGAGCAGCCTTCTTTTGATTCACTGCTGCTCCTTGTCTCAATTGTAGAGGAGCACAGCAATCTTACTGAACAATATTTTCCTCCTAGAAGATTATCCTCATAGTATGCTCTTGGATATTCTGAAAGGTTCTGATGTTTGCCCTAAACCACCAGCAGCATAATATCCTAATTCTGGAATTCATCAAATAAAAAATAGAA